TTATTCAAACCATGCTAAAGCAAGCAGCCTTTCTATGGACTTATGGAGATAAGTCTTTATGGAGAGGTTCAAGAATATGCCATTCTTATATTCACTGCAGTGCTAACACTAAAAACCAGACTATCCTCAGGGTTAGAAGAGGACATGAAATAAAAAAGAATAGATGATTCACCATGTTTAGAGGGGGATGTAGATTAACAAGTGCAGTTAGACTTGTTCTCATCTCTTTTGGATGGTAGATCACAATGAACATTTTCCATGTTTACTCTTAATCTAATACATTGTGATAAAGCCCTTCACTCTTGAACATCATCATTTTGGGTCTTTGTGCATTTCTATTTTTGTTGTATATGAAGAAACAATATTTCAATATTTCAAATATCCCCACCTTGAATATTTCCTGTTATCCTTTGAATGAATAGTTGCAGCATCATGTGTCAATAGAAGTACCATCATATATTTGTCATCTCTGTTGCCCACTCTTACTGATGTGGCTAAGACATCTGTTCTCATCTCTACTGTATCTCATGAAAAGCAATGAAAACATTTTCATATGGTCTTCCTGCAATTAGATGATTCTCCTTTCTTGTTTGCACTCTGTCAGATATTGCTGAATTACATTGCTGCTATGCCTCAAAAATCATCATGGTGGCCAAGGTTGATGGGAATTGAAATCAAACAGTATCACACATTTCATCAGCCTTGTAATAGAGCACACTACACAGTACCTAATCTAAGACCTAGTTGCTTTAGACATGAGACAAGACCTCTAATGGTCTCACAGAGAAAAACATTTGGTTCTGTAAGACAAACCAACAGTTCTCTAAGTATCTTGCTGAAATCTGAGGCAAAGGTCATCACTCTTGTCCTTTCTCACCAAGAATTAGAAGTGTGTTATGAGATGCTCAGCACAAATCCAAATATCTTATAGCTGAAGTTGTATGATAGTGGCCTTAGCTGTATAGTTCCACTGCACGTTATCACATTATACAAGAGGAGTGGGCAAGGGCATATCTAACTCAGTTACTCTTTCCTGTGTTCTTCAATATATTAGCATGAGTATATTGTGAATTAGCAGTATTTTCTGCATCATGTACAGAATGCAAAACTCAGAAACCCACTGGATGTTACTTCAAACATATGAATATGCACCATCCTTGCCTTTTTGCCAGCATGGGAGCAAAGGAGTTAATGAGAATACAGAACTGTAGCTGGGAAGAAGACCTGAACAAAACAAAGGCTATTACGAGCTAGACTTAGAATTGTCTAAATATGACTATATTCTCTTGATTATCTTTTGGGTTTTGAGGTATGCTTGGTCCTGTGCTAAATTCTCACTACATCTGAGTAGACCCTCTGTCCCTTGGAGATCCATAATAGCTGATAATTATTATAGCTGTACAGTATACACTTTAAAGGTGGTTTGGAATAAGTGCTTTGGTTTTCTCATGAGCACAGTACCTCTCTGTTATTCAGTAAAGCAAATGATCTATTTTCAGGCTTCTGAATGAGCTGAACAAAGGCAGCTCTGATTTAAGGAGTCAATTCATTAAAGTTCATTAATGGGGCTGTTTTAACAAATAGCAGAGAGATGCTGTGTGCTTGTGTGAAGTCCAATATTTCTTCCAAATCAGTTTTGAAGTGTGCACAGCCCTAATAACTATCCCACACCTATTAACTGATAATTGAGAATGTTAGTATAATATGCACCCATCCATTCCTTCTGAAGAAGTTCAGTCTCTTAGATACTCTTTGTTTCTTCTGGGTTATGTACTTGTAGGTCTCTTATGCTTATATTTATTTCTGTTTTGCTTTGATGCCTTTACTCTTAATAAAGCAGAAAATGTTCCTTCATATACTCTTTACATACAGTTCTTACAATCATTTCACTGCAATATTTTTCCAAGAGGTTTTGGAGTCACAGTATTTACATTGCAACTATGCAAGGCCTATAATTAAGGAGATCTCTTTTCAGACAGGTTGAAAGTTAGGCAGCTGTTTCTCAAATAATCGTTTTTCTAAGTTCTGTGTTTTAGACATTGTTCTTATTTTTAGTCAGTTTCTACTCAGTCTGACCTGGGTTTGCATTCTCTTACAGCTTCTCAAATGTGACCCATGATGTATTCAATTTCACCCTTCATACCACCCTGGCCCTCACCACGAAACTGGTGCTTCCTACACCTGCCAAACCAATCCTTCCAGTGCAAACTGGTGTCCAGGCTCAACAAGAAGAACAGTCGAGTGGCATGACTATATTCTTTAGTCTTCTTGTACTAGGTAATCCCTTATTAATTACTTTTGATAGCAATCATGGAAAGATGAAGGCCGTGAAATACAATTCCAGTTATGGTTTCTGACCTGTATTGTTAGTGTTGAGAAAAAGTGGAATGGAAGAGGTTTTCCTTTCTCTTTTTTAAAGTTTCCAAAGTAGAAGGAGGCAGATGGAAACGTTAGCTTTCCTCTTTCAAAATTAAAATTTGCATACCTTTTTACTTATGCATATAAAGAAAATAGTGGGGATATAAAATTTCACATGGTTAGAGCGGGGGCAGAAAATGTTTTACTTATCAGAGGCTACGCTTCTGGTCTGTGCGTGGTTTGTTACTCATTATGATAATGGTTTGAATTAGATAGGATTATGTCATATGAATAAGTATACCCATAAGTTTCCAGACAACTTTTTTGCGGGGGGAGGGCAGTTGGGGACTGCAACATTTTTCTAAGAGTTTCTGTTTCCCTCCTAAAAATGATAGAAAACTGTACTGTTAGTCTTCATTTGTGCTGTCAGAATGGGATAGGAATAACTGCAAAAAAGCAATCCAGAAATCACATGTAGCTTGTGGGTGATCCATCCCTTGTTTAATGGGTCAAATTTCCATCCAGGAGATGTTGGCAAATATCATCTATAGTTTGCTAAATGTTTATAGATGCTTGATCTGGTCTACCTTGAACCACTGTGTGTACCCATAGGTCTCAGTATATTATGCTGAGGTTAAACCTTTTGGAAATAGCATCATCATGTGTTGAACAGCACATTTAACTAAATGCAACCTGTGCTACTTTGGCTGCTCTAACCATTTAGCAAACCACTATGGCTGCACATAAGAGTAGCTGATGGCCATATACAAATCATGAAAATGTAAATGTTTTAAGATGAAAAATAATGCATAAATGCAGTCAAAGGCTGGGTTCATACTTTTGGCTCAGCCATGTTGTATAAAATCTGTAAATCATTGATTAGTTTTTAGTAGATTCAGCCAATTGTGATTTATTCAGCAACCTCATGTTTAAATAAACCATACCTTAACAGTATGTGTGTATCAGATGAATGACTATACCCAGGATAAGATAAAACAAATAATCCAATAGCTTGATTCCTGGGAATAGCAGGTTATCTCTAGCCAAAGCTTTATATCGGCCAATTTACAGGTTACTTTGTGGATTGTATGCGTAGAGTGGTAATTTAGAAAGACATTCTCATTTATCTTGGAGTTTCATTGTTTGTCTGCTTAAATGAGGATTTTCCTTGTCAAGATAGAAAATTATACTGATGAAATTTTAATTAGAATAAAGATAGTAAACAGTATATTACTATTGGGGTCATTTTGTTCCTAACTGTACCTTACCAATTTTCAAAGAAAAAAGGTGGGGTAATAATAATAATAATATCTTGACATGGTTGTGGGGCTTCCATGCTCTGAGGAAGATGAAAGCTATGCCAGAGGTTCAACCATACTGGGCAGGTCTCATCAGAGGAGCCAGACGAAGAGTGTCTCTCCCATAAACAATATGGTGAGATGTAATTTATAGAAACCTATACTGGATCAGTCATTGTCCGGGTCAACAAGGACTGTGCTAGGTGTTCTAGTCTCTGGACATCTAGTGACAAGTGAGCTACAGGACTCAGGACTGTTGGCTGAGGAACCAGGGCCAGCAGCTGCAGAACTACTGGA